TCTGCCCAGCACAGGGATGTGGGGTGGTGTGGGATAACAGCCCCAACTGACCTCTCTCCATCCCTGGGACACCAGGCTGTGGGTTCCTGTGCCTCACACAGGTGGAGGAGGATGGACACCCATTCTGGAGGGAGGCATTTTGGGAGCACCCCTTCCCCAGAGCACAGGCTGCGGTGGGTTTATGTAATGAATTACCCACATTTGTACTTTCTGCAGGAATTTGTACTCGGGAATTTTACCTGCTGGGTTTATACATCTTGCTAAATGAGCAAACTCCTTGCCAAGGAACTCGGGAGACACGGGGAGTGGTGGGGGTTTGCGGACAAAACTTTTCCAAGCCGCTTTATTGGACTTGTAAAACACAGCTTAACCCTTTTCATTAAATTGCTTTACATGAGGTGGCAGGGCAGTAAAATGCTCACTTATCCACGGCATTCCAAATGAGTTACAGCTCAGTTTGTGGTAGGAACAACGAAGGAGATGGGAACAGAGAGGTGGGAGGGGAGGGGAAGCCCCGCCAGCGGCTGGGTTGGCGCGAGGCTCAGACTCACCCTGACAGCAAAACCCCAAATGCTGCAAAACAGGAATAAAGCAATTAAATGTGATGAATATTCGAATGTGGGATTGAAGGGGCTGCAATCAAGGCTGGAGCTGTGCAGGAAGCTTGGATAAGAGGGCTTCAAATCACCTTCCAGTGCATTTGAGCGGCTGGTTGTAATAAAAATTAAGTGATAAACCATGGAGAGACAAATTATTTTCAGAAATCCTGTTCCCTTGATCTCCCAAAACAGCTGTTCGGCTCCACAGTATTTCCCCTTTCTTCTGTGTTTTAAAACATAAAGTTACATAAATAAAAAAAGGAGGAGGACTTCTCCTACCTTGTGGCTAGTCCAGGCACGGTCCAAACCATGCTGCCTCCCAGTTTGAGGAGCCCCAAACTCAAACGGGGGCTGCCACACTCAGTGATGGGGTGGATTCTGTATTTTCTTTAAGATATGGCACTTGCAGCAATGGGCAGAGCTCCAGAAATGGGATAAAGCAGACCCAGGGTCTGGCATGGCCACATTTCCAGGACACAGATCTTATGCTCCAGGGATGCTGGTGGCAGAGGGAGTCCTTGCACCTCGAGTTTCGAGGATCTACAACACCACGATGCCCCGATGGGATTGTGTGAGACCTGTTATTGCCTGTGTGAGGCACAGGGACACTGGGGACACCGTGCTGTGTCTGTGAGATCTAAAGGAGGCCTGGAAGAAAAATGGGGACAGACTTTTTATAAGGGCCTGGAGGGACAGGACAAGGGGGAAGGGCTTCCCACTGACACAGGGCAGGGTTAGATGGGATATTGGGAAGGAATTTTTGTCTTTGAGGGTGGGGAGGCCCTGGCACAGGTTGCCCAGAGAAGCTGTGGCTGCCCCTGGATCCCTGGAAGTGTCCAAGGCCAGGCTGGATGGAGCTTGGAGCAACCTGGGCTAGTGGAAGGTGTCCCTGCCCATGGCAGGGGATGGAACGAGATGGGCTTTAATGTCTCTTCAACCCAAACCATTCCATGCTTTATGATCCCTTTGCCTCGGGGCACAAAGCAAGGACAAAGGCTTGCAAAGCTCAACAATCACCCTCAGCCCCACATCCTGTGCTTAAAAGCTGTTCCACCTCCTTGGGCTTTGCAGGGAAAACAGGAATAGAGAAGAAATCTCCCTGTAGGGACCCAGAAATTTGGCAGAAGGTTCTCTTCCTTCTTTTTGTTTCACCAGCTGGCTCTGTGCCTGCAGATCCCTCCCACCCCAGCCCAGGGAGATGGGGCCACTTCTGTTTCGGAGCCCCCAAGGATCCCACGCCAGAACCCAGAGTGGTGGAAGCAGTGGGTCCCCCCAGCTCTGCAGGCCGATGTCCTGGCACAGCAGATCCGTGTCCCTGCTTTCCCTGGCGCCTCGGAGCGTGTGTCCACACACGGCCCTGTTGGAATGACAAGTGGTGATAATGAGCTTATCCTTTTAATGATCACCATGGAAACGTGCCGGCACAGCCGATCCTAATGTGAGCCCTGCTGAGGTGGCAGATCCAGGGGCTCCGGCCTCACTTCAACCCTCTGCTGGGCCCAGCACAGACCTCGGCTCAGCTGGGGGGTTGCAGAGGTGTTGGAGGGGCTTGGGAGGAGTCAGAGGAGTTTTGAAGGTGTTGGAGGGATTTTGGAGATGATGGAGGGATTTTGGAGATGTCGGAGAGGTTTTGAAGGAGTCAGAGGGGGTCTGGAGGTGCTGGAGGAGATTTGGAGGTGTCTGAGGAGTTTTGGAGGCATTGAAGAGGTTTGGAGAGGTTCTGGAGACACTGGAAAGATTTTTTTTTTGAGAGAGTTTAGAGGTGCTGGAGAGGTTTTAAAGGTTTTGAAGGAGTTTTGGAGGAGTTTTGGAGGAGTCAGAGGAATTTGGGAGATATTGGAGAGGTTTTGGAGGCGTTGGAAATGTTGAAGAGGTTTTTGGGGGGTTTGGAGAGATTCTGGAGATGTTAGAGAGAGTTTGGAGAGGTTGCAGGTGTTTTGAAGGTGTCAGAGGGGTTTTGGAGGCATTGGAGAGGTTTTGGAGAGGCTCTGGAGACACTGAAGAGGTTTTTGGAGAGGTTGATGTTTTAGAGCTGCTGGAGAGATTGTGAAGGGGTTTTGGGGTTTGGGGGGAATCAGAAGGGTTTGAAGTTATTGAAAGGTTTTGGAGGTGTTGTGGATATTTTGGAGGTGTTGGATGAGTTTTGGGTATGTTGGAGAAGTTTTGGAGGCAATAGAGGGTTTTGGAGGAAATTTTGCAGAAGTTTTTGAGGTATTGGAAAAGTTTTGGAGGTGATGGAGAGATTTTGGAGAGGTTGGAAGATGTATGGAGGTGTTGGAGGGATTTTTGGATGTGTTGGGGGAGCTTCAGGGAGATTTTGGAGAGGCTGGAGATATTTTGGAGCCATTGGAGGATTTTGGAGGTGTTGGCAATATTGCAGAGGCTTTGGAGAGGTTCTGGAGACAGCACAGCTTTGGAGAGATTGGAGGGGGTTTGGAAGTGTTGGATTGATTTCAGAGGTGTTGGAGAGATTTTGGAAGCACTGGAGTGTTTTGGAGGTGTGTTGGAGAGGTTCAGGAGGTGTCAGAGGGATTTTGAGGAGACTGGAGAGGTTTTAGAGATGCTCGAGGGATTTTGAAGGTTTTGAAGGGGTTTTGGAGATGTTGGAGAGATTTTGAGGATTTTGGAGGGTTTTGGAGGAGTCAGAGAGGTTTGGGAGGCTTTGGAGGGGTGGGAAATGTTGGAGAGGTTTTGGAAAGGTGGCAGAGATTTTGGAGAGCTTGGAGGGGAGTTGGAGATGTTGGAGAGGTTTTGGAGAGTTTTGAGAAGGTCTGGGGAGGTTGGAGGGTTTTTGGAGGTGCTGGAGAGATTTTGGTGATGTTGGAGTGGATTTGAAGGCATTGGAGAGATTTTGGAGGTGTTGGAGGGGTTTTGAAGGCATTGGAGGGTTTGGGAGGTGTTGGAGGGTGTTTTGGAGGTGTTGGGGGTAGGTTTTGGAGCCAGTGCTCTGTCTGGGGTGCACATGGTCATTTATCAGCACGTGGCAGCTCACGGCCATTCTCTCCCGTGTGTCCAGGCAGCGTCTCCTCACCTGCACAGCTCCTTCCTGGGGAGTTCCCTCACCCTGCCTGGCCCCTCCGGGATCAGTGCTGTGCTGAGAGTGCGGAAATAAAACCTCCGTGACAGAAAATGTGTTGTGACACAAAATGTGCCCAGGACTGCTCAGCCCTAAGCTCCTTATTGAGCCCTGGGGACAGTGACAGCCCCATGGAGGGTTTATTCTCCCTCCTCCCGGTGTTTAATCCTCTAAAGTAAGTGCCAGCCTCTGCAATGTCTCCACAGGGGCATTGGCTGTCCCCTCAAAAGCCAGTTAAGCTGCTGGTTTCAGCCACCTCTTGTCACTGCAGGTGCCACTGAGAGTTTGGGAACCAAAAGAAATGTTTGGATCTGTATTAACTTCATTGTTTTGGGGCTATGGTTGGTCCCAGCTTCTTGATTCTGTCAGGCAGCAGTTGGGGACTGGATTTCTCTTTATTTAACATTAGTTCACCGGATGAATGGATCTGGATCTCTCTGTTAACATCTTCTCTCCCGGTCACATCAGGCACTGGAACACCCATGGCCACAAAGAGCTCCAGGCTGCGGCAAACCTGGGAGATGGGAATAGGAGTGGGATTCTGGGCCGTGCAGCTCTGTTGTCCTTGCTGAGCAGGGCTGGCAGGGTTGGGGGTTCCCCCCGCCCCAGTTAATTTAATTACTTAATTAGTTACATGGGAAGGAAGTCAGCAAACACAGAGGGTGTCCTTGGAGCTCTGCTGGGGGGTCAGGAGGAGCTGGGAGCACAGGCATCCCTGTGGATCCGGGGTGAGGCCCACATCCAGTCCCAGGGCAGGTCTGGGACCAGCACTAGCCCAAGGGTCAGGCCCAGCTCCGGGTCCCATCCCCATCCCATCCCCTCCCCTCCCCTCCCCGCCCATCCCACCCCATCCCATCCCATCCCATCCCATCCCATCCCATCCCACCCCATCCTCTCCCCGCCCATTCATCCCATCCCATCCCATCCCACCCCATCCCATCCCATCCCATCCCATCCCACCCCATCCCATCCTCTCCCACCCCATCTCATCCCATCTCATCCCATCCCATCTCATCCCATTCCCTCCCAAGCCCCGCCCCCTCCGCGCGTGCCCACCCGTAGTCCCGCCCTTGGCTCCTCCCCCACCGCGCGCGTGCGCAGTCCAGGAGCCTCGTGCTGCCGCGCGGGAAGGGCGTTTCGCGCATGCGCTCCCTCTCGGGGGCGTGGCCAGGCGTGCCCGCCCCCTCCCGCGCCCCGCGAGGCGCCGCGACCTTTTCCAAGATGGCGGCGGCGGCGGCCGCGGCTGGTTTGCGCAGGCGCCGCACCACCGCCCGGGCCGTGATTGGCTGCGCGGGCGCGGTGAGCGCTTCCGGAGGGGGGCGGGGCGGGCCCGGGATGCGCCTGGGGTAGTCCCGGTACGGACCCGGCACGAGCAGCGGCACCGCCTCACACCCGGCACCGGCACGGGCCGCGCCCCCCACCCACCGCACCGTCCGACCGCAGCCCTGCCCAGCGCCCCGGGGCTCCCCGTCCCCGCCAACGGGGGAGGCCCGGGGGCTGGGCGCCGGCGGCTCTCCGGTGCCCGCGGTGCGCGGCCGGCGGGGGCTCGCCGGTGCATGGGCAGGGAGGCCCCGCCGGGCCGCCGCCCGCCATGAGATGAGCGGAGCGCGGCGTCCTGCCTAGAGCCGCCCCGGAGCCGCCGCGGCCATGGTGAGTGCGGGGAGCGGGGACGGGACGGGCGGGGGGAACCGGGACCTGTCCCTGGGGCTGCAGCCCCAGAGCCGCCCTGGTCACACGAGGGGAAAGGCCGGGAAGGCAGGAATTCCTCCTGGGAGCGCTGGTGCCGGAGGGTGTTGGGAATTGCAGGTTTTCCGGCCTTACACCCGGGGAGGGAGTGCCCGGAGAAGCTGTGGCTGCCCCTGGATCCCTGGAAGTGTCCAAGGCCAGGTTGGACGGGGCTTGGAGCAACCTGGGCTGGTGGAAGGTGTCCCTGCCCATGGCAGGGGGTGGAACGAGATGAGTTTTAAGGTCCTTTCCAACCCAAACCGTTCTGTGGTTCAGAGTCTCCGAGTTGCCGTGTTGGCCTCCAGTTTGGCCTTGGATAAGCTGCAGGAATGTCCTGGATTCTCTGCTGGAGACAGTGGCCTTCAGCTGCCTCCCAGCAGCGTCAGCCCTGTGCAATCCCAAGGAGAGATACAGAGGAGATGCAGCACAGTCTGATTTGCACAATCTTTTTTCCCCTTGATAAGGAGCCAGAGGAGACATCTTTGATCCTTTGGGTGCAGGCAGAGCCAGGCTGGGAGGTGGGAATTGCCTCCAGGGGATCGTGGTGCTGCTCACTGTCACCATACCACAACTGCTGTTCTGATTTCTCCTTTGTTCTACCTCCAGGGAAGCCTTCTCTCCCAGTGTTTATTGGGCTGACAAAGGGAAGCCACAAACATACCCTTTGCAGTTGGTCAGTGAGTGGAGAGATGTTTTCAGCAGCTCATGGTAATCTTCCTGCCCTGTCTCCCCCAGAGAGTCCCACTGGGCACAGATAGTAGTTTCTGAGCTAATTTTCAACCCCTTTCTTGCTTAAACTGACTTAAATGCTGCAGGGTCAGGCCTTGCACCCATTTTCTTCTGGAGTTTGGGTTTTGGTTGTGAATTTCTTCACTTAAGAACTGAAATAATCACGTCTGCTCATTGTTTGATGTGCTCTTTGCTGTTTTATTGAACCCTTGCTCTCTGGAGCCCATTTAAGTTGAGCTTCATTAGTGCCTTTGAGAGGCTTTGCTGCTCCATATGGGGTCTGCTGGGGTGGGATATGGTCTCAATAAATACAAGTAGTAACCTGTTGCTCCTGGGTGTGTGTGGGTGAGGGATGTACCTGCTGTGCCTGCCTGCTCAAGGTGGGCTCCTGACATGTCTGCCACGTGCCACAGGTCCTTCTAGATTTAGCTTCAGCCAAAGGGGGGTATTATTGAGGTGGATTCGTCTTAGTGAACCCCCCAAGTTCAAAAAGATGAATAAATATTGTGGTTTGGAGGATTTGGTAGACCACTTAAAATTGCAGGTGGCAAAAGGACTTCTTAATTCTTCCCCTGCCTTGAGATGGACACACACATTTATCCTCCTGAATTACACCATGTTTGCTTCCTTTTGCCATCAACATCCACCATTTGGCTCAGCCACAAGCCCTGCCTTGGGAAATGGAGACAGCCACCGGACTGTGCTGCACCATTTACTGTTGTAACTCCTCATGTGACTCCTGGGCAAGATTTTCCTGCTGTTTCCATTTCCTTGGAGCTTACAGATGGGCATGTTCTGCTGCTAGTGCACCTCCTTCCTGGAAACAGTTGGAAAAGGGGGAAGATGAGCTGCTGGAAGGCATCCTGGGAACAAATAAAACATAATTAAACCCTGCTGTCAGGAATACAGGCTCATGTAAGCAGATTTTCATAGTGGAGTTGAATTGGCTTGATCTGGAATGCAGTGAGCAGTGATGAATTAGAGCTTGATTAACTGGGAAGGAATTTTGAGAGGAAATTGTGAAGTCTAAGTGCCCAGGCAAAGGCAAGAGGGAAACCAGTGATGCACAGTGAGCTCAGAAACTGCACATGCTGTAGAACAGGTGCCCATTTGCTGGGCTTAGGTGCCACTAATGGCTCAGAAATCTTAATGCCACTATTAAAACCTAGTTTCAGAAGAAGCTTGAATCATCCTTGGCTTTCAGAGGTGTTTGTGAAGAGCAGCCCTGCTGTGCTGAGCTCTGGTCGTCCCTGTGTGGTGGTTCTTGTGGCTGCTCGTGCACGCTGTGTGCAGTGTCCAGTTTGGGGCTTCCTGTGAGAAAGGGGGGTCAGCAATGAGGATGTCATGATATGCCCATAGGGAAAAGAGTCTTGCAAAATCAGGTGGGTTTCTGGGGAGTTAAATCTCTAAACACAGAGTAACTAAATCCAACTTCAAGCTTTTCTCTTCCTTCACAGGCCACAAATTATTATATAGTTTCATGATCAACTTTTAGGATCTTTCTACGTGATTTAGTGAACAGCTTCAGAATAAATATTGTTTGTGGCACTAATCCTTGAAGGCATTTGTTTTGTCTCATCACTCATTCCTTCACCTTTGTTCCCCTTGCACTGGTGCAGATAAACAGTCTCTGAGGCCCTCAGAGCTCAGTTAGGAGCTCCCCAGCAATCCTGTCACCTGGGAATTGCATTTGGAGCTCCCATGTGAGGCTGAAGTCAGGTTGATTGCCTCCTAGGGAATGTGTTCTTCAATTATGTGGGATTTGTGTTCTGCCAGCAGCGAGGCCAGCTTAGGAAAAGGGACTTCTTGCAGGAAATGCTGCTGTGTGAGGTGTGGGATCAGAGGGGTTGGAGAACAGGCTCCTCATGGAACAAGTCACGCTTCCCTCAGGTTGTCACTGAGTGTGGAGCCACACAGGGAGCAGACAATGAAAGTGGCAGCACAGATCCCAGGAATCCTGTGTCCTGGTTCTGTGTGTGACAAATATAGCTGCAGAAATGGGAGTAGGCAGTGGTTGTCTGTAGCCTGGATCTCTAAGTTTCCCACAGCAGCATCCTTGCTTTTATTTTACAGCCTCTATTATCACCTTCCCAGTTTTTTGGCAGTAAGTGCTGTCATATTCTTACACTTGAAGCTACCTTGGTGATGGTTTAGGCCTTCCATTCACTAAGGACAAAAGAGTGTGTGGATTGCAGCACATGCAGCCAGGTAATGCTGGGGAGCCACAGGGTATCTGGCACTCTTGGTTGCCAAGGAGCTCCTGCTGAATTACCAAAATAGCTCCTGTTGATTCTGTGTGTCAGAGTAGCTGAGCTGCTGGCCTTAGGCTGGAGCGGGTCTGTGGGAGGTGAACCAGAGCTGGTTTTGGGATCACTGCTGATGTTGGCCGTGCAGATGGCAGGACAGGAGGCAGCAGCAGCTTCTTGCTCCTGCAAAGTCCCCCTGCCTGGTTGTCCCATCGTGCTGGAGACATTCAAACTATGGCAGGGCTGCTCTGGCTGTGGGTGAAACACGTGAGCTGCAGGGATGGCAGGAGATGGAGAGGATGCTGGTGTTGCACGGGCAGGAAGTGCTGGCACGTGGTGAGGTGGGCTCTGCCTCACGGGAGGTGTTTGAGTGTCCTCCCTCCCTCCCTGCCCTCAGTCCTGGCTGAAGTGCAGCACCAAATCTGCACCTCTGTGGTGGAGCCTGAGCTTCTGTCTGCTCCCTGTACATCTCCCTTATGTACAGCTTACCACTAAAAGTAAACCCTTTGTACAACCATTCTGACGCACTACTGAGCAGAGAGAATAGGAACTCGGAAGTTCTGGCCTCAGCTCCAGCATCTGGCTTCCTTTTTGGACTGGCAAGTCATGTTATAACTGTACCCCCCAGTTACCTCCAGTTATTAAATCATTAAACTGGAGGTGAGACCTAATGCTGGTGATTTTTCCCATCTTCTCTATCTCTGCAGCCAAGTCTGTGCAGCTCTGGAGAGGAACTGAGGCTGTAGCAGGAGAGCTGGTGTCTGCCAAGGATGCTCCCCCCAGAAGAAAAGCTTTTTCTCTGAGGCAAACAGCTCATTTAGCAGAATGGTTGTCCATAATACCTTTCAAGATCTATAATAACTACGATCCATGCATATTTCAAAGACTTGGGTAGCTAAACTCAGGCTGCCCTGTCACCAGGAGAACTAAAAGGTATCCAGGTGAAATTATTGAGCCTCAAGGTTGAGTAAATGAGTTTGAAAAGCTCGTTTCATAGATGATGCTGAGAGATGTGTGGTGGTGCTTGTAATTATTTCAGTAGGAAAGCATTAAAACCTGGCAGGTACTGCCAAGCTCATGCCGTGGGGTTCAGCGCTGTGACTGCTCCTGAAATCTCCAAGGAATTTGGGTTGTGTTTGGTGAATTTAGTACACATTATTAGATGTTGTCGTTTAGACCAGGGAGAATTAGCTGCTGTTGATGTTGTTATATTTCCAACAGGTGTTAGTATATGCAAAGTAGAAGAGAATGGAGCTTTTTTATGTACAGGCTGATATGTGTCTGGTAAAATGTGTCCTAAAATCCTTCCAATATCCCTTTATCAGTCAGCAGATATTTCAATATTTCCTGGTAGTAATTATATTTGTATTTGGGTCACTGCTGCCTTGGCTCTCTCTGCATCCCAGGTGTTAACATGGTAACCTTCTCCTTTTAGAGAATTAAAAACCAAGGCCTTTGCTGCTTTGTTTTATCAAAATAAAATCCTTACAATCCCATTTAGATCAAATAATCCTTGGAATCCCATTTACTAAGTGTGCAGCATGTGCCCGTTCTCCTGTGAAGGCCTCACTGTTCCAACCCAAGTGTAAATATTAACAGTTTGGTAGAGGAAAAACAGTTTTCCTACTGATTCTGATGGTCAAGGACTTGCTTGCTCATCCAGGGTTTTATTTGTCAGTCTTCTGAGGAGAGCCTCTGTCCTCTGGAATTTTGGGAGTGACACAGCTTCTCCTGGGCTCAGAAGCACCTCCAGCTTATGAAAGGTGTTCTAGTGGTGAAGCAACTCTTTACCAACCTTACCTTCCCTCCACACACATTTTATCCATGTTTCTGCTTTCTGTTTATAGTCAGGATACTCTCACTCCACCAGAACTGTTCCAGGCTCTTCTAGCAACACCACAAATTCCTTAATTTTTTTTCCCCCGATCCCTCCTCTGTGTGGATCATGCC